ACACGCAGAAAACAGTCTGCCTGCCTTATGTGAAGGGGTTATCAGAGAAAATACAAAGGGGTTATCAGGAAAATACAAAGATTCATATAACATGACAACCTTCAAAAGCTTGACGACACTTCGCAGATGTCTCTCCCAAGTGAGACCCCTCATAGAGGAGAACATGACTAAAGATTGTGTGTACGCTATCCCTTGCAACTGCAGAAAGGAATATAAAGGAGAGACAGGCCGCCCGCTCAAGGTAAGGCTTCAAGAACACCAGAAAGCTGTAACACGAGGGGAAGTAGAAAAATCAGGTGTGGCTGACCACATATGCAGAGAGAAGGGAGATCACCGCTCTCTGTGGGATCATGTTGAGATGATAGACAGGGAACACCACTGGAAAATTCGTAAACATAAGGAATCAGCACATATGCTAGGCCACAAAAAAAAAAAAAAAGTTGCAATATGAGCTCTGGTAAAAAACATGCAATGATAACAGCAAAAATTGCAATATGAGCACTGGTAAAAATGGTTGCTGAAGACATTAGGTTTATAATACCCAGAAATTCGTACCCAGACATATGGCACAGTGGATAAAGGTGTTGGTTAGATCCAGTGACAGGACCCAAAGAGTGTGAGTTCAATACCTGGTTAAGGCAGTGGAGAACTTTCAGAGGGAAATTAACAGGAGATAACTGACATCCATCAAACATGGCATGTGGAACTCGAACAGTCTACCCCAGTGAGTGAAATAGGTTTCAGTTTGAAATTCCAACCACCTGAAGAAGGCCGGAGCGTACAATGGCCGAAACGTTGTGATGAATATGACAAAGATGAGGACAATAATGTAAATAATGTACATAATACCTCATCTCAGGAATATAGACAGACTCTAAAGAGTATAATTTGTTTAATTACTAAATAATACAATTTATTTATTTTAATCCTATCCATATTGTGTTGGGGAGCTTTGATATATGATTTGACCCCAGAGGTTGGGCCATATTTAATTAATTATTCTGTTGTGTTCTGGGTATTAGTTTTCTGTTTGAAGAATTTCACTATTAGGAGACAATGCAATGATGCATATCACAAGAATTACAAGAATCAAGTAAGGTGTTCAACATTTTTCCTTTAAAACTTACAATTGTTTCAGCATGTGAGAATCCACCCACCACGTCTGATTTACTAACTACAATGGTAGCACTTGTGGCATTTGTTGCTGGAGACTGACATACTCTAGCAAAGTGTCCCCTTTTAGAACACTTGTTACATCTTGCTTCCTGAGATGAATAATTTATTCTTCTATGGTAGGGCACAGTACCACAAAAGGAGCTATGTGCAATTATTGTTGGCACTTCTGGAGTTGTAATTTGCAGCTACCATTGAGGTTTCAGGTGAGTTTAAGGTATTACTTTTATCACCTTTGCCAGAAAGGTTACTTTCACAGACTGCAACTGCTGTAAAAGGAATAGGAGCTTGATTGTAAACTGACTGCAAATCCAATATTTTATTCTTTAGCAGTCTTTGGCGTATTGTTGGAGAAGCAATTCCACAAATGAAAGCATCTTGCATAACTTCATCCCCACATTCTTTAGCTGTATGGTCTTTGAAATTACAATCCTGTTTTAGTTTTTCGAGTCCCCTGAAGAAATCATGCATAGTTTCATTTGGTTCCTGTTTTCTTGTAGCAAGTTAATGTCTTGCAAAAATCTCATCCAGGGTTTTAATAATAATGGTGTCTAATTTAGTTAGTGCTGATCCATAGTCAGTGCAAGTTTCAATAAACTCATACGGCTAACACAGGGCTCTAAGCTTGTTAGGAATTTTGTCCTTATAATCCTTGACATAATTCATAAAAAAAACCCATACACCAATGATGCTATTCTTTTGCTGTAGTTGGTGAGCTGGAATTGATGTCTAGGTTTGTGGGTTGCCATCCTATAATCAAATTACATTCAGCTATTAATTATTTGAGTGAGGTCTCATAAGTTGAATAATCTTATAAAGACTTGAAATAAAATTAAAATTTCACTGAACTGATTGTCAAGTACAACTGCTAAATAAAAAGGTCTGTTGCAAACTATTGATGACACTATTTTAGTTCAAATGACTGCTGCTGTATTTGACCCTGTTATTATTTATAAGAAATGTGAACTGTGAACTCACATGACTTATAAATTTGCATATTACAACAATAATAATAAATATCAACATAAATATGAGATCCACTAGTTAGAAAAGAATGTGTATTAAATTGAAAATCCAAATAGTCACTACATTTTGAAAATAGTACTGATGAAGCTCATCTGGCTTAATAATGAGATATTCTGGTCTTAAGGTAACATGAAGTATTTTTCTTACTGGTATAAAGTAATGCTTACTGTTATAAGAGAATATCTCATTATTAAGAAAAGAAAGGCAATCCAGCTGCATGACTGATAAATATATGAAGTCACACTGTGTTTAGTTCTGTTAGTATTTAATGTATTGACTATGGTGAGTCCACTTGTTTATGCAAGTGCCATCAAAAAATTATTGATTTAATAGAAAATTTTGTATGGTGTAAAAGGTGATTTTACTACTTTTTTTTATTTATACTTTTTAAAAAATTTTATGAAGTATTTTTTATATTAACATTCAATTTAATAGAAGCAAGTTTATCCATGTTCATTATCGATGGGAAAATATAATTGGACTGAATTTTATTCAGAAAATTAATTAGTATTTGAAATACTTTGTGCATGTAATATTCTAACTATTATGGCATTTTGTCAACAGAATGTAATGGTATAAATTGATTTATGAATCTACCTAGGAAAATTTATTTTAGATAAAACAAAAGCTAAAGAAACTGACTAAAGCATCTTTTCATTCTGCATACACATATGCACATGTGTGTAAAGGGGGGATTAAGAAGAATATGTATTGCTGTAAATTTTATTTTTATTTAAAATCTTTTCATTTTCTTCAATTCAAATAATGTGAGAAAGAAAATTATAGTGTATCTTACTTTGAGATGTTTTGTTTCTTTTTACAAGAGTTCATTTGAAAGAAATATCATCTATTTTGTTATGCATTGTTGACAGCAGCCATGCAAAATGGAGGCTGACATGAAAGTCCATATGAAGCAAGGGGATTGAATTTCTCCATGCAGTAAATATTGTACCTATTGACATTCATCAATGATTGCTCAATGTTAACAGAGACCAAACAGTAGATGTGAGCACTGTTAGGTGGTGATTAATGTGTTTCAGCAATGTCCACAGTGAGAAGCCACATTCCAGGCTGTCATGCACAGTTGCCAGCCCTCGAAATGGAAAGTGTCTCAATCAGATCATCCATATATTACAACCAGAGAATTGAATGTTGAGCTGAATATGTTGAAAACAGTATTGGCAATATTCTAATATAGCAAAGTTTGTGCCAAATTGGTACTACAGATGCTTACGCAAAAACAGAAAGCCTACCAAATGCAAATATATCAGGATCTGCTGAAGCACTACATAGTTGAAGATGACAGTTCCTGTTCTCCATCACCCCTGGTGATAAGAAATAGTGTGATCACAACAAGCCAAAATCAAAATAACAGTCCATGCAGCAGCAACATTTGAATTCATCAAATGTTCAAGAAACAATGGGTAGGCAAAGGGATGTTGTAGCAGATGTAGTGAACCAGAACCTGAGTTGAGAGTCAGAAGCAGTGAAGGAGATTTTGCTGGCATCTCGAAGTGAAAGAGTTAGTCTGGGCATGACATGTAGAACTTCTATTTGAGAGAAGGTGAATGCCTCATTCCATCAAATGAGACCATCTCACAGAAAAGAGTGAGTTCTGTCGAGGTACATTATATGATACATGCAGTTGTGACAGAACAAATGAACAAAGCAGATACAAGGCAGAGAATGATGATAAATACCAAAGAACTATTGTAGAGAGGAGAACACCCAATCTGAAATTGTGTCTGACAACAGAGTCACTAATTTCTTTTGACTACAAACTATTTTGGTGAAATGGGAGACAAAGTTGACTTAAAATGCATCCCAGAGTTCAATGGCACTACTTCTGTGTTGGAATGGGTGGAAAAAGTCAAACTAATTTGTTGCCTGTCCAGGGTGAAAGCCAGTGAGCATGTGATTTCTCTACGACTTTGAGTGTCAGATACCTTGACAGGTAAAGCCAGAGTACGCACTAAGGCAGCGAGCATGATACTGATCAGGAGGAGGTTAGAGACTATTAAGAGACAAATCACTGAATATGATCTGTCTGTGGATGTAACATTAATACATCAAACTGCAACCTTGCTGACAGATTGACCTGTGTGCCACAAAGATGGTATGACATCATAAAAAAGGACATTGAGCCTGTACCACTGGTATGTGCTGCTTCTGTGGAGGAGGCAGATGAGATAATGAAAATACACCATTGCAGCAGGTACCCCAGTGTAAGAAGGACATGCTATTTCGTACAGTTGACCAATCCCTCAGTGCTCATGAGTGCCATGAGGGCTGTAGTCAAGGGGTCCCAAACATGCCAGTCAATAGACCCAGCACTAGTCAAATGGCAAAAAGGAAAGCTGGGGGTAAGTAGCAGTTGGAGCAGGCTGATTATGGATATAATACATTACAGTGGCCAGCATTTCCTCACGCTTATAGATTGCGGACCCACCAGATTTGCAGTATGGTGACCATTACCGCATCAGGACTCTTCAAGTGTTATCCGCCAATTAGAGTCAGTGTTTTATGAATGAGGACGATAGAAGGAAATCCTTTCTGATAATGATACTGCCTTCTGCAGCAGACATTTTAAGTGCTTCCTGGATAACTGGGGGATCCAGCTTCAACTGCAACGCACACATGTACCAAGTGGCAATGGCATAGCAGAAAGGTGCCACCAAAGTGTAAAAAGGATTGCCACCATAAAACAGTGTACAGTCATGGAAGTGGTGTATAGATATAACATGACACCAGAAGATGACGTGTCTACTACAAGCGCACCTGCTAATGTGATCTACACCTACTGGGTACAGGTCAAAGGGATCGATGGTGTGTATCTGCCTGCCTGAATGAAAAGAAGTGTGTGGACCACATAGGATAGGAGACTCCATCTGGCTGATGCTTCCAATAGCCGATGAACGACCAACTTCAAAAAAGGGCAGGTCACTAATATCATCAGTGAGCATTCTATATTGGTAGATGGAATCCCGCGCAATGTAAGGGATCTCTGCCCTGCCCTCAAAACAATATCATTGCTGATTGAGTCCATACCATGTGAGATCAATGATTCACCTGAGAACCCAAGTAATAACATTGACAGCTCTGACAACTCTTCTGAGAGCTTCTCTGAGGAAGAAGTTCAGACAATCCCCCTTCAGAGGAACACCTGAAACAAGAGACCGCATATACACTGTTATATGTGTGATTATGAATCCAGGGTAGAGATGTAGTGAACCAGAACCCGAATTGAGGGGTGGAAGCAGTGAAGGAGATTTTGCAGGTGTCTTGAAGTGAAAGAATTGGTCTGGATTCTATTTGAGAGAAGGCAAGTGCTTTGTTCCGTCAAACGAGACTATCTTGGAGAAAAGAGTGAGTTCTGTCAGGGTACATCATATGATATGTACAGTTGTGACAGAATGAATTAACAAAGTGGACACAAGGTAGAGAATGATGATAAATACCAAGAAACCGGTGTAGAGGGGAGAAAAGCCCAATCTGAAATTGCGTCTGACAACAGAGTCACTAATTTCTTTTGACCACAGATGTGCACTGAATTTTGGTATAGAAAAGCCATGATCTTCGTGGATTTCCTGGAACCTGGACAAACAGCTGTAAGTTTGAGGTATAAGAAAATGAAATAAAATCAGTAAATAAAATAATAAGGAATAAAAAGAAAATAAATATATTTTCCCATAATGCTGGTAATAACAGAACTGGAAATTTTATTACTCCACTTTGGTTTTGCCTATTAAGTGACACTGTTTAAGTTCTATAAAAAGACAAACATTTCCTACCGCTTCCTCTTTCTCTCCCTTGCTCCAAGGTGTAGCAGGACATGGATGAAGCCGTCTCCACTGGGAAATGTCTCCTTTCTCTTGTCAACAGACAAATGAAGTACAAAATACATTTGGTTATTCCAACTTCATGTAAAGCTAACTTGAGCTTGACCAATATAACCATCCATATCATGACTTACCCTAACTTATTTCTGGACCAAAAAGAAAGCACCACTTCCAAAAAGGACCAGAAAAAGAAACTTTCTTTCACTTCTCAATGCATAGCATTCAGATGTGTTTTTGTTGATCCTTCAACACTAAAGTAAGCACAAACTTTACTTTGGTTGTTCCAACTCAGCATAAAGCTGACTTGACATTATAACCATGCTTATCATTACTTATACCCTAACTTACTTCTAAAACAGAAAACGAAAGTGGGTATACCCAAGAGACATTGAGAACTTTGTTTCTTTACAGTTAATATAAAAAAGGAATAAACAGTCCATATTAGAAACCCAAGTTTTTGTATGTTTCTTCTTTAATTGTTTGTATATGACAATGCACCACCTACTTACACCAACTTGTAACCTTTTAAATTCTATAAAGGACTGAATTTTCTGGCTCAGGAGAGAGATAAAGGAAACTTTTGCTTGTAACACAATAACACCAGGCCCTATATCAGTTTAAATACTATGTATCCCGTAGCAAATTTGGGCTGAACTACAACTACTGTATGGTTTAAATTTGGCATATTCCAATTTTCATCAGTTCAAATCAATGTAAGATAGACCATGTTTTACAGACAATGATATTATCATGAATGAGATAAAATGTGGGTTACTTCAACTGATTGGTGCAGATTTTTAACTGCAGTCATACCTAATGTTGTTCATCATTGGTAAAAATGTATAATTTAATGTGGTGACAAGGCAAAATAGTGTTATTGACTGTCTTGTTTCTGTTATAGTTTCTGAAGGAATAAATAGGATACAACATTTAACATAGTTAAGCTGTGGATTTTACAAGTAAGTGAATCTGTACATGGTGGTTAGTTGGAATGGAAATTGGTAAGTTGATGTGTAAAGCCCAGATAACTAAACTAGGTAATTTGGATTTTACTAGCATACCAGAAGTATCCTGGGGTTTGTTTTTCTGTTTAAAGTGGGATTCACCATTTTGAAAAAGGTATCCAGAAAGAGTAGAATTTCAACATAATTTAAGATGAACACAGGTGGTTGAACATCATTTAAGATAAGAAACTCTGGAAAAATATCAGTTTAAAGAAAAGAGAATTATCTCCTTAAATTAGAGAAACAAATTGACCATTAGATACAATCCAGATGGGATTAGATAGATAAACACTCAATAAGAATTTCTTTGGAGGTAAAATGCTGGATTGTTGTTTCTCAGTTATTAATTTTTTCTGTCTGTAGGATGAGCAGATAATTCTTGAGAAAATAGAGAAATATGTGGCAGTTTAAAATTGTATAGGGAGAGGAAAAATTGGATACTGGGAGAATTATAATTTAAAGTTAATTGGTTGAGTTGGTAATGTGACTGGTATTAACCCCTCTTGAGAATTGTGCTATTAAACTTTTTCTAAACCAATGGACACATGAGAACATGGAGTAGGGGTGTGAACAAACCAAATTTGGAGAAGCTTGGAAAATGATAAATTAGGGATTTTTTTTTTACAATAAATCAAATTTCAGCCTGGCCATATTGGAATATTTCAATATGAGCAGGCCAATTCTAACCCTTGATGCAGTTGCAGTTGTAGTTCAATTGTCAGAGAAGACACTGCAAGCTGACATCATCTTCACTTGCAAGATATTGCCTGAAAATAATTGCTCAACTGAAGCAATTTTTCACAGCTTAAATATTTCTATTTGCAGACTGACAATCTAGTGAATCAGTTGAAGACCATGTTTTTGAAAATCAACTTTGTTTGCAAGCCCAAGACCAGACTTCCCTGAATTAATTGATGAACTACTACTAGTCACTCGTTCAGAGCATTGTTGTTGTTTTTGTTATCAATAATGCTGTCATCTACAGGGGGCTGACACTATTTTTGGGACACTTTGAAAAGTGTGCTTAAAGGTGTTTTTGCTGCCGAGAGCTTTTGTGTTGATGAGTAGGTAGTTCAGCAATAACTGTCCATTAATGGTATGAACATTGATTGATGGGTTTGTCTTTGGTTTCATGTTTTCTTTATTTTTACTTCAACTTAGGCGACACTATTTTTCAGACATGACACAAATTCCATGTTTTTTAATGATTTAGTCGTCGAATGTCTACAATATGCAAATTTTCTGCAGGTAAATTGTACCCTGACCATTACATTTGAGTATCTTTACCATTCAGTGTGAAAACGTATTAAAATCCTGAAGAAGAATGCATTCAAAAGAAGTCATCAGTTTGGTCCAAATGAAGAGAGAAGACGGGCTCAGCATCCGAAAGATCACCGCTGAGATGAAGCTACCAAAGTCAACAGTTGAATACATGCTAAGTACAGACTATGAGCGGAAGAAGAAGAAAAGAGGACGGAAAAAAACAATTTCCAAGAGAACAGAAAGAAGAATGAAGAGGAGTGTTACGTGGATGTTATCATCTGGAGAAAAGGTGATAGCAAAGAAAATAAAGGAGAAGTGTGAACATGATATCAGTGTTTGAACTGTACAAAGAAAGCTACATGAAATTGGACTTAAGTCTGCTTAAATCAAGAAAAGAATTACACTAACGAGAAAACACAAGGAGGCAAGGCTGGGAAGCACCAAAAGATGGATAACAAACCAGGTCGACTTCAAGAAAGTGATATTTACTGATGAAAAACGTTTCAAGTTTGATGGACCTGACGGGTGGTGTACATGGTCGAGAAAAAGGTGAACCTGTTATTCTCAACAGGAGACAGATGGGGGAGGAGGAGGAGTCATGGTTTGGGGGTATGGTGTTTCTGAATGGAAACTTGTGGCTCAACCCAACCAAAAGGACGTCAAAATAGCTTGAGCTACAGAGAACTTTGGAAAAGAGAGCCCTACCACTCATAGAAAAAAAATAGGAAGTAATTTTATTTTGCAGCAAGATAAATGCAGTATCCATGTGGCCAAATCAGTGAAAAATTGGATGTGTGAAGCAAATATAACTATTTGGAATGGCCTTCAAGAAGTCCAGACTTAAATTTAATTGAAAACATATGGGAAATGCTTGCAGAGCTTGTTTACGACGGCCAGAAATAACCAGAGAGGCTGAACTGTGGCAGCATACAAGATGCTAAAAATAGACTGCTAGAAACATGAAGAGACATTATTATCAATATGTATGAACATTATGAAGATAGACTGATAGAAGTCATTGAAAAAAAGGGTGCTGCCATAAACTATTAGCATTGTTTCTGCAATGTCCCCAAAATACTGTCACCTGTGTAATGTGAAAATTTGTAAAAAAATAAAAATACTTCTAATTTGAATTCTGCTTTTCCATTTGTAGTATTGAAACAGTTTTTAAATGTTACTGCCATTACACTAAAACAGTACAGACTGCCTGTGCTACCTAAAACTTGAAAAAATAAAGTGTCAGAAAAATAGTGTCAGCCCCCTGTACTAACTTACCAACCAGTCATAATTAGAAAGAACACAGCAGCACCATAGAATTAGGAAGGATTAAACTGATAACTGTAACTTGTGGAATTGTTACTTAAAGCCTGACTTCCCTCTCTTCTCTACTTTTCCTTCGTGAGAGGGACTTATGGGAACAGAGTGGTTCCATGGGCTCTCTTTTTCTCACATAGTTAACTGATCCCTGTTTGGATTTGGGTCATGAGATAGGCAGTTTCACAACACTTACTGTACTGGATCGAATTCTACTACCCTGAGAGTCAAAGGGAATTTTCAACAAACTCAACAAATAAACTCATTGTTATTGTTTCTACAAATAAGAATCAGCTGGCTGTACTGGTGTTTTTTTTTTTTTGTTTTTTTTTCTTATAATTTGCCTTCTTCATTTCTGAGAATGTTTCAACCAGCTTCACTTAAGACTTCCTCAGATCAGAAACTTAATCACAATGAGGATGGAGAAAATCAAATGAGGTAGACAGTAGAATAGTGCTATAATTTAATTACTTTTGAAAGGTCCTTTAAATATTAAATAATTAAATCTGAAACAATAAGCCTTTTAACTAGGTGTATTGATTT